GAAACCAAAATTAAATATTAATTTTTTATTTGAATAAGTGTTTAAAATAAATTATTAAATAATTTATTAAATATACATAATCAATTAAGATAATAAATTAATAAAATATTTAAATGAGAAACCAAATTAAATATTATTTTTTTATTTGAATAAGTGTTTAAAATAAATAATTAAATAATTTATTAAATATACATAATCAATTAAGATAATAAATTAATAAAATATTTAAATGAGAAACCAAATTAAATATTATTTTTTTATTTGAATAAGTGTTTAAAATAAATAATTAAATAATTTATTAAATATACATAAATTAAGATAATAAATTAATAAAATATTTAAATGAGAAATCAAATTAAATATTAATTTTTTATTTAAGCAAGTGATTAAATAAATAATTAAATAAAGAAATTAAATATTAAATAAATAATATATATAACCGATTAAGATAATTAATTAATGAAATATTTAAACAAGAAAGTAAATTTAATATTAATTTTTTTAATTTGGGTAATTGTTTAAAATAAATAATTAAATATAAAGTGAAAAGTGTTTGATTTTTTAATTTGTAATTTAAGGGTATTTTTGTCTTTTGAAACAAAATTCTATTTTTGTAATTGTATAAACTACTTAGGGGCATTTTTGTCTTTTACTCAACAAAAGGCCATTTTGGTTATAGACAAATATTTTTTGGTTAAAGTGAAAAATTGCACATTTGACTAAGCCAAACTAAAAATTACTCCTTTCATGGATCAAGAATGAAATTAACCTAGGGAAAATTACATTGCACCAGTTACTTAAAGACCACAATTTAAAAGCCAGGGACCAAGTTCCATTGTACACAAATCAGATTTTGACATAATATAATGAACCCTAATTTTATTTCCACCCAATTCTAACACTCGCAGTCTCCCTCTCCCTTTCCATCTTCTTCCTCATTCAGATTATGTCGACGCCGTCGTCGCCGTTAGACCATCCACCGCCAGAGATCAACCTCATTTCACTTCGCCGTCGCCAACAGTTGCTACGGGAATGAAGAGATCGGAGCCTATGACGAAAGCTCCGATCTGAAATTCGTCCGATTAGTGATGTTTCTCCTACGATTTGCTGTGGTCGATAGTTTGCGAGGTATATGTGCTGTGAACAATTCTCCGACGAGTTGTTGTGAACACCGCTACTCACGGCTTTGCTTGATTTTTTCCATGGTCTTGATCGTTGGTGGATTTGACGGCTGGTGGTGTGTGCGCCTGTGCGGTGGTGTTATTGATGGTATGGTTAGGCAGTGAGTCGTTGAATTTTTTTTTCGATTTGTGGTGTTCTGCCAGTTCATGTGCAGTAGCTCTGGTGGTGGTGGTGCCCCTGACAGTGGCTGTGTGCGGTGGTGGAGTTGTTGGAAGTGGTTGTTGGCGTGGTGATTTTGGGTGGAAACGGTGGTGAGAGTTGTGATGGTTTTTTACAGCGATGGAGGTAGTGGTTGGAGAGCTGGTAGTGTTGATTGGCTAGGTTTTTGTTAGCAATTGATTGGATCTGGTGGTGACTATTTTGGCGGTGGCAGTGGTGATGGCGATGGAGTGAGGGTGGTGGTGACAGGTGGTTGTGGTATGCGATCCATTGTTTGATATGCGATCAATGTGACCTTAAAATTTAACAATTGTAACCAATAAATTCGAAAATGTGACTAATAAATAATCTGTGACCTATAATTTTTTAATCTGCAACCAATGATGAAAACTGTGACTTATAAAATTTTTGATTTGCAATCTCGAAATAATTTGTGACCAACAAAATTTTTGATTTGTGACAAAAAAAAAAATCTATGACCAACAAAATTTTGATTTGTGACCAAGAAAAAATCTATGACCTATAAGTGGAAATTTGTGACCATAATTGTGTAACCGTGACTTTTATTATATTTAAATATTAAATATTTTTAATTAATTACATAAAAACCTGATTTTTACATAATTAAACTTAACCACTTTAATTTTGAAGTGTGCATACTTAAAACATGGTTTGTGAATTCTTCCCATTAACCTATCAGTTGATGAATTGCTTGCAGCCCATCATATCAAGATTCAAGACTCAGACAAATGGACTAATTGCCAATCTTTAATTACTTTTTCTAATTTTTCTGCTTACATATAGATTAGAATTTTGGCATAGCTAGTGTCAAAGGACATAAGTTCCACCCCAAAAATCTAAGCGCTTGTTTCGTAATAAGTTAAACAAACTTCATTTTTAATCATAACTTTATCCACTTTTTAACTACACATTTCATAGGACCACCAACTTTTATAAACTTATAGCAACATCGCATAATCCCTATTTATATTTAATTTAACTAGGTGGAGAATCCCAATAATTGAACTTAATTAAAGTATATTTTAGCTAAATCCCCCTCCCTCAAGACCTGCGGAGGCCTCAAAATGGGACAGAAGTAGTAGTTCTTGACTACAATTCCACGGTGGAGCTTGTCTTCCAGGGTACAAACACAGTTGCCGGGATAGCTCATCCCATGCACTTACATGGATATAGCTTTTATGTGGTTGGGTGGGGAATTGGAAACTTCGACAGAGACAGACACCCACTGAATTATAATCTCGTAGTCCCTCCTCTAATGGAAACAATTGCAGTTCCTAGAAATGGTGGGACAGCAATCAGATTCAAGGCAAATAATCCAGGAATTTAGTTTATGCATTGCCATTTTGAGCGTCATGTAAGTTGGGGAATGGGAATGGTATTCATTGTTCGAAATGCAAAGAGCTGCGATGCTAAAATACTGCCTCCACCTCCACAGGTCATGAATAAAAACCTGTGTTCCCTTCTTAACAACTAACCGGGAATAACTGAGATGTTTATTTTCTGTGATGGAGAAAGGTTTCACTTTCTTGGTCTTATCATTTAACCACCTTCCATTATCTTAGCGAAGAATTCAACGTACTCTGCATTACATTATTATATAAACTGTGAATAAGATGAAGAAACAGAAATGTTGATGTGCCATCAAATTAAGAGAATAATATAGGTGAATAGAACATAAGATGGATGTTATCAAATATCATCCACAATAGAATTCATTCCGGGTAGGGTAGATGCAAAAATATGCATAAATGCAACTCCATTATGCTACGTAGTAATACAAGACGATGGTTCTTAGCCAGCTAGACTCGACTCTGCAACATTTTCTATATCTAAATCCCATATCATGTCGACAAAATTACAAGGGTCGTTTATAAAATTACAAGGGTCAGTCGGGCAAACTGGTGCCTACAATCTGCTATATAGTAATACAAGACAGTAGTTCTTAGCCAGCCAGGCTCGACTCTGCAACATTTTCTATATCTAAATCCCATATCGTGTAAATAAAATTACAAGGGTCGGTCGGGCAAACTTGTGCCTACATTGTGCTATATAGTAATACAAGACAGTAGTTCTTAGCCAGACAGGCTCGACTCTGCAACATTTTCTATACTAAATCCCATATCATGTTAATAATATTACAAGTGTCGATCGGGGCAAACTTGTACCTACAATGTCCTGTCAATCTTGATATACATAACACCATCAGACGAATTTCAAGTATCTCATAATCATATGGACACTCATTTTAAGACTTCAATATTGAAATATTTGTTGGTATTTCTCCTCTTCTTTAATCGTACCTATTTCTATTGGATCAAGATACCATACCATGCACCAACTAACCTGTATACCTTCTCAACAAAACCGCAATACCATTATCGAAATCATATAACTAACCATTCTCCCCACCAAATACAAATGTCAATAATATGATAATATTTCATGAAAATCCCATGAACTAAGCAAATGTATGAATGCACACATGTACAGAGTAGAATGAAACAAGCAGATCAGTTCAAACACAGAATTTCGTAATCGAAATGTTGGGTTCAGAGCGAATGACTGGTAATAAGATTGACTGCATCTACAACCAAGACTTAAGTACAGAAATCATTCAAAATTTATCACAATTTCCATACAATTTGATATTTAATTGAAAAAAAGAAAATAATATATAAAAAAAGGGGAACAAAAAAACCCTAAGCGATTGAGACTTTAGCACCTGCTTCTTCGAGCTGCTTTTTGGCTTCCTCAGCTTCATCTTTAGATGCTCCCTCCTTAAATTTCTTCGGCAATCCTTCAATCAATTCCTTGGCTTCCTTTAAAGCCAAATTAGTCAAAGCCCTAACTGCTTTAATAGTAGCAATCCTCGCGTTGCTCGGCACCTCCTCAATCATCACGTCGAACTCCGTCTTCTCCTCGACCGCAGCGGGAGCATCCGCGACTCCCGCCCCAGCAGGAGCGGCAACGGCGGCTACGGGGGCGAAAGAAGCAGCAGAAACACCGAGCTTGTCCTGGAGGTACTCGACAAGTTTCTGAGCATCAGCAAGCGTCAAGTTTGAGATCTGGTCACCGAGGTCGACAACCTTTTCGGGAGCTTCTACGGCCGCCAGGGGACGGAGGAAAGTGGCGCGGCCTCGGAGTTTGGGGTTGGTCTTTTGGGGGAATTCAATGGATTGTTTTGGAAAGGTGACTGAAGGATGCGCAGGATAAGCAGCTGAGGGTGTTTGATAAGTGGATGGAGGGAGGGTGATTGAGGATAATGTGGAAGCCATTGTTGAATTTAGAGAGAGAGAGAGAGTGGGAGTGTGGAAGAAGATGAAGATGATAGGATAATGTATGAATTTTCAAGTTAATTTTATATTCCAATTTACGCATAATCAAAAATGACTAAAATTTTGATGGGCCTATGGGCCATTATATGTTCACAAAAGGTCTAGGCCCATGATTGTGTATCCAGGCCCAAAAGTGAAATCTGAAATTCAAATGGGGCATTCCGAGAATCGAACTCGGGACCTCTCGCACCCAAAGCAAGAATCATACCACTAGACCAAATGCCCACAGGTGGTTCCACTTTGAAACCTAATATATAGGTTTTATGTATTGAGCGACCTATATGCAAACTTACACTCTTTGAGGCTTCAAGTTGATTGGAAGCCCTCGAACATTTGGGCCAAATTTCAATACAACGGGTCTCAGAATTTGTGAGATAGTTCGATCCATTCGGCATATTATTTTTATTTTTGTTTGGAAACTAATTTTGAAAGAGCTTCTTACTCTCAAAGGTACTCTTAGAAGAAGTTTTATTAAACCAACTCTTCTAACTAGAAGAAGAAAAAATACTTTCATAAAATTAGTCAAACGAATTCAAAAATAGTTTTTCGATCTCAAAAACTACTATTGACTTTTCAAAATACCTACCAAGCGGTCCCTATGTTATTCATGCTAAAGGTTGTACCTTTCACCACCTTTTAGTTTGGTCAGATTGATGCATTGTGCTTGCACATGTTGAAGCTACGCTTTAGTCCATTACAAGGTTATGAGTTATTCAATGGAATTCTATGTTAAAAATTCTCTACACAAATATTTCCAAAGCCGACCTGATTCTGTTGTGAGTTCTTGTGGAATGTTGTTGGTCCTAGATTTGTGACTCAAACCGGTTTAAGGTAAAACGTAAAAAAACAAGAAATCAAAGAACACATGAAAATTTTCAACCAAAGACCCCGAAAGTTTAGCGACCACTATTTAACATTTATTCCCCCGTTGAACATCCGTTAGGATTTCGTTCCAATCCACTAGCACAACTAAAAACACACGCAAGGATATCGATTACAGAAGAATACCAAATGTTCGAAAAATTCTTCCTCTCAACTCACTATCCACTATTTCATAAAGGAATCAAAACTACTCACAAATTAGGATAACTGTTATTTATTAACAGCCCCAAGAATTCCATTCAAGAATTTACAAGAATATTACCCAGATGGTGAATCTCTCACAAATAGCATGGACCAAGACAGAATATAGAGACTAGGGTCTCAAAATTATCGTTCAAATGACTGTAGACGGTATATGTATCGTTTTTAGTGAACCATGCATCTCACGGTCATAAATCCTCCACGCTTCAGCCATCCATTCAGTTTAAGTTACAAATGCAATAGTCGTGTTTAAGAAACACGAATTCTCACGGTCATAGAACCTTCACTTGGTTGGACTGAGCAATTAGGCCTAACAATAGAAATGGTCAGCGGGTCGACAACCATCTTCTGGGCTCAAATTTTCGCAAACCCAAATCTTTACAAACTCCACCTTGCTGTAATGTGAGACCTTAGCAAAGTGGATTTAAATATAAACAACTAACTTCATTTGCTCTTATTACCTGTTCACAAAGAAAAGAAAAATTTAGCAAACTTCAAAATTCAATCAAAGAAAAATTTAGCAAACTTCAAAATTCAATCATCTCAAAGAATCAATGAATTTACCCAGTGGTATTACCTTTGTACCTGCATCAGTAGGATTTAACTTAGTCGGAATTTCGATCAACTTAATACCACATTTTTCAATTATATCTCTAATAAAATAAAATTTAACATCTATATGCTTAGATCTATCATGAAAAATTGGATTTTTACATTAGAAAATGACACTTTGATTGTCTGAACATAGCTTCACCTGACTTTCCATAAGTCCTAATTAATTTAATAAGCCCTTTAGCCATAGATCTTCTTCTACTGCTTCATTTGTAGCCATATATTCAGTCTCAGTTGAAGATAAAGCAACTAGTTTTTGAAGTTGAAATTTTTAGCTCACACATGTATTATTTACCACATAGAAATATGTAGTTGTAGACCTCCTATTGTCTAGGTTTCTAGCAGTGTTAGAGCCAATATATCCTTTAAATTTATGGCCATCTTTATCAATTTTAAACGAAAGTCCCAACTGATGTGTACCTTTCAAATATATGCATCGTTTCCAGCTAACCATGCATCTCACGGTCATAAATCCTCCACGTGTCAGCCATCCATTTAGTTTAAGTTACAAATGCAATAGTCGTGTTTAAGAAACATGATTTCTCAAATCTAGAACCTTCACTTGGTTGGATTGAGCAATTGGGCTAAACAATAGAAATGGTCAGTGGGTCAGCAACCATCTTTTGAGCTCGAATTTCAGCAAACCCAAATATTTACAAATTTAAATGATAATATGTTGCCACAAGCACTACATTCAACGGTCTTCAGACCAATTCTGTAGAATTCAATCTAGACCAAGTTTTGATCCTATATATGTTAAACAAATGTATAGATCGTGTAAAGAATATGTTCGTTAGACAATAATTCAAGCCATTTCCTTCTCGGAGATAGAACTATAATGTAAACAAGAGCATTACTGTATAAAATTTCTCAAATTCTTCAAACGTGCAATGCTGTCAAAAACAATATTTTCACCACCTTCCGTCCTACCATACCAGTAA